CCCCCCCCTCAGCTCTGTCCAGGATCCGACTTATTTGTGGGCATCTGGTCCCCACTTACATGCACAGACTTGACCCTCTTCTGACCACCAAGGGGCTATGGCTTCCTGGCACTCTTACAAGTCCCCCACCTGCTGGGGGAAGAGGTTTCTCCAGGGCTGGATTGCAGGATAATTGTCCCAGGGCTCTCTGCTTATGCTGTGATGGGTAACACAGCCTTGGCTTTTCCTAGCAAGACATCCTTGAGATTGGTGACACCATGCCAGGATTCAGCCAGGGCTCAGTTTTGCTGACTGTAAGTATGAACGGTGCCATTGCCTTTTAGCATAACTAAAAGGAGCAAAACCTGTTTTGGCTCATGGTGGTTGTGTGTATCTGAGGATTCCACCTTAAGCTGCTGAGTAAAAATGTGTATGCCCTTGTTACCTCTATGCTTTTTGTTTATGATGGGGCTGTTCTTGTAATGACTCAATGGATGCAGGTAAATGGCAGGGGGTAGCCTAAAGTCTAGCATTTGGCATGCATCTTTTGGAAGTGAATCAAGACATGATCTGGGGGAGACTGAAGGGCTTGTCTTGTAAAGCCCAGTAGGACCAGAAGCATTCTTTGTGCTGTGGGGCATCTGTGTCTCCACTGTGCAACAGTGTAAAGTGTTCACTTACAATCACACAGCTATCAAGTTTTGATTTTTTTGTCTGATTTATTCTTTTCACTCAAGTTTAGCAGATGCATTACAAACAATGGGTGCTGAACAGCACTGATAGAATAGGAGTTATGACAAACAAGGGTATTTTGCCCCAAGTAGCTATAACAGTTCCTACTGCCTGTCAGTGTCATCAGTATCTTTGAGACCCCTTTTTGGGGGGGGGGGAGGAGGCAAAAAACTAAGGCAGGAGGTTGAGAACAAGTTGGGGTTATTTCTTAAAATGTCTATGCTAGTTGGAAAAAATGTGTGACATCCTCAGAGCCCTAAACTGCTACTTCTGTGTGAGGTATGGGCTTGAAATATAAACTTTTTTTTTGATTATCTGAATTTTGTGGGCTTGCATCCAGTGTTCACAGGCTAGAGGTGTACTTCTCCAGATTTACATGAAAGTATAGACAGAGTTGAATGTTAAATCAAGTAAGAGTTAGATGCATCTTAAATAAGGAAAACATGAAGTCCTGCTCAAAATAGAGCAAGCTAAATTTAGAAATGTCTGTATATAATTGTCTTGCAGTATTCTTTCATGTTAATTTTCTTGGTGGAATGAGACTGTGGCCCAGATTGGGCTCAACAGTGTTTTCTGTTTGGACAGTCAAATTTGAAATCTATGCTATCTGTGACAACTAGTCACCTTTTCAGTTTTCAGAGAAGTTTCATCAGAGTGGAGTTGTAGTTTCCCTGATTACCTGGACTCGTGACAAGTTTTACCTTGGTAATGCTTTGATGGCAACATTTGACTTCTGGTCTGTTCTATCAGCATTTTTTCAAAGAAGGGCAAATTTAAGCTCTAGTAATTATCAAAAACAATTGGGGGCAATTATCATGTTGCAACAAATTCATTCCTTTCATAGGTTGTCAGCCATGTGTTCTTAAGTATTAACGTGAGCTTCCCAAAGCATTGAGTTAAGCCCTCAGATGAGTTTGGCATGGAGGAAAGAGGCTAGGGTCTTGCTTAGGCTAGGACTCTTCTACTAGCTTAGCTACAGTGATGTGTTGTTAAAATCCCCATGTGTAGATGTGCCATGCTAGCATAAAAAGTGTAGATCACGATAATGTGTGTTAATGTTACAACTGCACTCTGGCTTAAAATTATTTGTGTGAGCATCTGACAATCCTGCTGCTTCCCTTGTGCCAGTGATAGCACTTGTAAGGTTGCACTGCAAGCTAGATCAGAGACTTTGTCCAGCTTAAAATTAATCCAGCAAAAAGAATATGTCTGCAAAGGAATCTGGTCCCTAATCTGGCATGTTTTTTGGGTGGTTGAGTGCTAGGGCCAGCAATCTGGACTTAAATTAGGTTAAATCAATCATGACACTGCATCACAGTTACCTTAATACCAAATGAAACGGCCTAAGCCTTGTTTATTTCTCCCTTCATCCTGTGCTGCATAGACTCAAGTTAGAGCAGTCACAGGCCTGCTCTAACTCATGCTGTCCAGAACAGTCCTTTACATTGGTGACTTGCAAACTCTTTGTAACCTAGCCTCACTTAGGAGAACTGGCAGTGGGCAGCTGTTTTGCTTTCTTGTTCCCTGCCCATCCTAAGGCTGCTTCTAACTCTTCAAAGTACTGTTCTAGAGCCAGGGAGCAGCCCTCTCTTGGGCTGAGGGTCTCACCTTTAAGATGTTTGTATATCACCAGTAAGGCCTGGCCTATCTTTTGGGAGTTGCTGCTTGAGGAGTTGTTTTGCTGACCAGGGATTTGGTGGGGCATACTACCCTCTTGCCATAACTCAGTCTATTGTACAGTTTTTGTACTGGTCAGAGTTTCTGTAATGCTGGAGAACTCCTTAGCTTTCACTTTAGGGCGACTTCACTGACAGTTCAGTTTGGTCTGCTAGAGTAGTGTAGTCTTAGTGATATTGAGAATCAGATTTACTTAGCATTTATAAGCCAGGTGTTGTTATTCTGTGGTCATGACTTAAACCAGGCTAGGCTAATGCAACAGTGGACACTCCCCAAATTGTGGACAGTTGATGCTTTCTGTGCCTCTCTGACTTTTGTAAGCTTTGACTTCTTTCTTATAAATGTGTCCATGGGTGAAATATGCTGGAAAGGGTTTTAAATTTTTAGCTTTTAGGAAAAGTTTTCAACAATCAATTTCCATGAATGGAGGGATGAGCATGAGTGGAGATCTTTTCTTCATATGGAAAAGAAAAAGTGCATTTTAAAGTGGGTAACAAAACCAAGTTCCTGAAAGGTGTCCCCCCCCCCCAATCAGCTGATCTAGTAAGGTATTATCTCTTGCTCCAGACCTTTTCTTGTGTGTCCTTAGACTAGCAATGACAGGCCATTTTGGTGGCTGGTGCCGAATTACTCTTAAAAAGCATTGGTAACAATTAGCCACAGTGTCAGCCCAAATCTGTGATAATACCAAATTTAGCCTGGTGCTGATGCTTTGCTTTTGCTGCCTCTGGCCATCATGTTCACAACAATGCTGTCATGTTCAGAAAACAAAACACTTCATCAGAGAATTAAGATTTGTTTTTTCATTGCAACTAACAGCAAGTGATATCTGATAGCAATCCCCTCTTGACTTCTTGCTACTTTAAAAGCTGACACTCATTCCAAATATAAACTTTTTATAAAGTTTTAGTGAGAAATGGTTGAGTTGTAGAATGGCCAAATGTTTTTAACAAACCTTCTGAACAATCTAATTTCTGTCTTGGACGTGTGCTGGCTTCATGTTATGTTGTTGTAGGAAAAATAGACAGTCAACAAAGCTCCTTGAATGGTCAGGTTATTCATTAAGAATGGTATTGACTTTTTTAGTTTGGTTTTAAACTTCTGTTGAATAGCGCACTCAGTGTTTCTCTTCTTCCTACTGCTTCTGGATTGAGGCCAGACTGAATGGCCACGCAATTCAAACTATGTAGGGAG